CTCGTCTTAGGCAGCTTCAGAGTCTGTTCTTTTATTAATAGCAGAAGTTCCCACGTAAAGCCCTAACTTTTAACATTGGATGAACCTGGCCTTACCACTGACTAAGCTCTAGCGCCTTTTTAAAAACTCTGATACTCTACAGGAGGTGAGCTATGTGACTTTAGAGCTAGCCCGCAATGTGAAGCACATTATTTCCCAGGCCTGCTGTAATTAATGCAGACTTGGACGCAGACTCCGTTTTTAAATACGTTAGCATACTGCTGCCAATCTGTCATTCCAGAGGTGGTACCCTTGTGAGGCAGGAAACTACTGGGCTGGAAACCAGAAAGCCTGGAATCTCAGACATGAAATGGGTAGGGGACTTTGGGACAGTCACTCAACATCTGGGCTTCAGTTTCCCCACCTGGAAAACTAGACCTAAACTTTGTTCCAGCTAAAAAATGTTATCTAGCTCAGATAATCCATCTTGAAATCAGAGAATAATCCGAAATGATATCAATACTGAAAGCACAATAAACTGTAACTAGGAAAAACAGAGTTGTTGGATAGCATGCAAAAGTCAATACAGAAGCTATACGCAGTAAGATTTGATAAGAATGAAAACTGACCAGTGACTCAAACTTTTCTTTCAATAGCTATATGGAAAATAAATGTAAATTTAAAGATATAAAGATAGAAAAATTCGAAATGGTTTCAATGCTATTGTCAGAAAAATTTCACTTAATAAAATTTGTTCTAGAAAAATGCTGTTAAAGTCACCAGCGTTGCTGGTATTGTGATTACAATTTTGTATTTCTGAACGCAGAGTAAACGCTTCCTTGGGGCTGATATGACGACTCAGCGATGTCAGAACAAGCCGTCCTGCATTTCAGAAGCCATGGCAACATCCAAAGAGATCATGACAGCAACTCTGACATGTGGGGAAAGACAAAGACCCTCACAGAAGCAGTAGGGTGGCCTTAACAGTGATGGCCACATGTTGTCATCAGCCAGGGACAAAGAGGATCAGACCTCTGATCTGCACTCTAACATTAGGAAGCCAGTATATATCTATATACACACAGATGCATACACATATACACTCGTATACACATATATACACAAATATATACAAACACACGCACACCAGAGTCAATGCCATTAAAGGTGTGTGTGTGTACATAGTAGGTACACACACATACCTTTATATATCTTTATCTATACATATGTACACTGAAGGCCACTATACTATTCTATACTTCTTGCTAACTAAGTCCCTCTGGGCCTTAATGGAAAGTAGATATTTCAGTTATTTCTTCAAAGATATCTTACAGATAATTTAGTCAAAACCTGGCATTTTACAGACAAACTGAGGCTCAGAAAAGGCCACTGCCCCAGGTGACATAACAAGGCTGTGCCCAATTCTTAGAATGGCACAGAGGCCAAAGACTTGCTACCTCTAGGCTGGGTCCACCTCAGGGCCACAAGCTACCTCCTCCCTTCGGCTGACCTCCGAAGGCTGGCCGGCTCTGCCTTCGGTTTTCCTGGGCGTCACTTGACAGGCATACGTGGGGACGCTTGCTCCCTCCCTCACGCACCCTGCTGCTCCCGGGGAGAGCTGTCATTCCTTTAATTGGACATTTTAAGTAACCATCCAAAGACAAGTCTACTTTGGTTTCGATTTTTAAATTAAGAGCTGTGGAGTTTGGCAGGGAGTGGGGTTTCCTGTTTGGCAGACACATACACATGCTTCTGTTTTGTGTGTCTCTTGTTGAAAAGCAAGGCCATGGCTAAAGTCTGTTGTTTTCCTTATCAGACGCTTGACATTTGCACAGTGTCCTCCGTCCAAGCCTCACAGAGAATGCCTTTGTTAGCGCCGGGGCCCCTTTCCCCTCTGCATTCCGCCCTCATCTCCCCCCGCCGCCCCCACCCTCCACTGAGCCTTACTGGGCAGGAGCTCCGCCAGCATTTTAAAATCACCTACATAAAATGCAGATCCCTTGCCGCGTGGTGAAGCCCTGCCTATCACAAACATATGTGGGCCTCGCTCCTTTTGTTACCCACTTCAGCTCTCAGTCGGTTTTGCATTGATGAGAAGGGTCAGTGGGCTTCCTGTGATATTTGCCACAAGTTTCTGAGTGGCAGCCAATCCCTTTTCGCACCTCGGTGACACATGCAGCCACAATCTGGTCTCCCAAGCTGATGCTCTGAGCAAAGAGCTGAACAGGATACGTGCAATGCCAGGCACTGGAGTGCTCGCAGGCTGGGCTGGGGACATAGGAGCCCAGGTGGCGGAGATGGCCAGTGAAGGGTCTGGAGGACACGCTGAGTGTGCCCAAAGCCATCCTCCTCATAAGCAGTGCGGCAGATGGGGGACGAGTGACGTGCTCATTGCTCCCCCAGACGCACAACATTCAAGTTTGCCCTTAAGCCCTGAATATTAGTATTTCAACTTCCCCCTAAGGGTTGATTTTTAGTCACATATTTTCCTTGATCTTGACTTTTACCATATATGGGTTGGCTAAAAAGTCTTTTTTGTTTTTTCTGTAAAATAAGACACATTGTTCATTTTCGCCAATAACAATTGACTTGGATATTTTGAGCATGTCGGCTGTCTCCCGCTATAGGTTTCTAGTGGGTAGAGGTCAGGGCTGCTGCTAAACATCTTCCAATGTGTAAGACAGCCCCACAGCAAAGAATTATTTTGTCAAAACGTCAATAGTACCAAGACACTTTGCAAACCACTTTTGATATGTTTGATCAGCCACAGCACCTTCTCCAAAGATGGCAAAATTTTTTTTGCATTTCAGTTGCATTTTTACCTTTCTTGAAATAATAAAGCATAATACGTTGAAAATGTTGCCTATTTTCTTCCATCTTCAATATTAAAATGGCTACACAAAAATTCACCAATTTTGATGGTTTTTAAAAAATGCACACTGATATAACAGCTGTCACAATACAATCTAACAAAATTGTTTCCAGTGAACTTAAAGATAACTAAGCACTGCTAGAGCCATTGTACAGGAAAAACCAAATGAACTTTTTGGCCAACCCAATATAATTTTCCTCTTGTTATGCACTTTCTTTATAAGTGATCCAGGGTAATAATGATAACAATAATACTAGCAAATACTAACTATGAGTCAGGTACTGCTCTAAGCTTATTAGCTTATGAAATCCCTTCAACAATCCTACGAGGATGCCATAGACTGTGGTTCTTAAACAACAGAAATGGAGCCTAGCTCTGGAGCTGAGAAGTCCAAGGTCAAGGTGCTAGCCATTCTGGTTTCTGATGGGAGCTCTTTCTGGCTCCCACAGAGCTGCCTTCCTGCCGCGGCTCCACAGGGCAGAGGGGGCGGGGCAGGGAGTGCAGGTGAGCTCTCAGGTGTCTTTTCTTACAAAGACACTAATCCCGTAGAATCAGAGCCCTGCTCTTAATGAACTCATTTAACCCAATTACCTCCTGTCTTGCCTCCAACTACCATCACATCATAAGTTAGTAGGTAGTGTTACTGCCCATATTTTGCAGGGCAGGAAATTGCTGCACAGAGAGGTAAGAAACTTGCCCAAGGTCATATTGCTATTAAGTAGAAGATTTGGAATGCAAATCATGATCTTCCTGACTCAAATACTCTAGCATCTAACCACTGCCTTATACCGTTTCTATACGTAGACAGGTGTGTGCAATAGTTGATTCAGGGGCAAAGAGGCAACAAAACCAATAAACTGCCATGAAGTTGTAGTTAAGGGGCTGGAAACCTGAGTGCAGCTTTGGGGAGTCAAAACTGATGTTGACACAGCAGTTTCCATCTTCTTTCCAGAGCTGCCTGCGTGTAAACAGACACTCTTTTTGCTCTCGCCAGTCCCATGTTCAGACCTCACACATGCACTGCCAGCATCGTTTCTGCTGAGTCCTTTAGTCTGCCATTCCACCAGTCTTTAATCCTTGAGCATGATATATCTCGATTTAGAAACTATAACGTTATAACTTTTCCAAGGTAGAGTTTCCTCTCACTAGGGCCCAGAAATATGTCTTTCAACTGTTTCCTTTGTCCAAGGTAGGTAACATTTTGGGCAACATCTAAATTTCTTACCTGTTATTTGATGGGTGGAATGATTGCGGTGGGAGAGGCAAAGCTATCTTTGTACATATGAACACACATAATCTTTCTTGATCTATCATTTCATTCTAACATAAATGAGTAACACATATCATAACCCAGTAACCCCTAATGAAATTCTTTGTCAACTCTCATTTATTATCTGAGAGCAGAGTATTTTCAAGGAAGTAAGCATCTGATTAATTTCTGTTTGGAGCATGGATTTGCCTCATGGAAAATTCGAACATTTAGAAAATGTAATTCCAAATACCCAGAGAGACAGAATTGAGGTCCCAATGGTGCCTCAAATAAAAAACTGCAGGGGGAAAAATCAAGTCCAAAGGATTTAAATTTCCCCTCTTAACTAACTAAGCAAAAGCTTACTGAGAGGTTTCCTTAATCTCTCCCAAAACTTTCTGGAGGTGAACAGCGTAATCTTTGTGTAATCCATGGAGGAGGCTTGCTCATCCCAGAGGGGCTGAGATCCGCAAACTGAAGGCACCATGGGCACCCCTAAAATGAGGTCACACTAGGGGCATCAGATGGAGAGATTTTGTTCTGGGCTCCATATGCAATATACAAATATGATCCTAGATTTGCTAGAAGAGGTTACATTGACCCTTCTTTGTATAATTTGTTCAAGTTTCCCTTTGTTTCCAAAAAGACTAATTCTCTCCATAAGGATTCCCACTTTGGGGCTGAGCTTTATGTTTTTAATTGTTGAACAAGGCCTACACTTTGGTCATGGTATGTCAATACAGACTCAGACCGCTCTTCTCTTGCAGAAAGCAGGGCCGCAGAAGACACATTTTGGGTGGAGTGTGACGCTGCTTGAGGCCAGCCATGCCCTCCTGGTTCCCAGGCTTTGCGGTCCATCCCATTGCCTCCGTCCCACAGCCCGCAGGCCCCGAAGCGTTTTCATACCTGGTAGAAGTTCCCCACTTGCCGCACATAACCGGCCACTTCATTGTCAGACTTAAAGAGCTTCCAAACTTTTCTTTCTGCCTTCTTGTATTCCTGGGCTCCTTTCCAATTTATGGCCATCAAGGAGCTCTCTGTCAGGGAAGCCGCCACGAGGACGTCCAGTTGGCCATTGTAGAAGAGAACCTAGACGAAACGGAGCAGGTGAAAGTGCAGGATTCAGTGCGAAAAGCCACGACCCCACCCAGATACAGAGGATGCACACGCAGGCGCATGCGTGCGAGAGAAAAGGGACCGCCCTGAGCTGCTCTGATGCCATCAAAGCTCGGAGAGCCCAGTCCCGCAGGGCCGTGGGGTCATTTTCTTCCAGGCGGCCACATACACCAACAACCTGAAACGACCTCAAGCCTCGTCTCTGCCCTTGCGTTCACCCAAAAGTTTGATTCTTCCTAGGAATCTACGTAAAGGCTTCTTTTGGTTGCCAAAAGTGTTTGTGCTGTGTGATTCAGTAACATTACACACTAGGATGTATGGCTATGTCAAAGAGGAGGACTGTCATTACCACATTTTGGTGTAACTGAGGAATGCGACCCCCGAGGATTTTTGCACAGCCTGCATTTCATTAACATGGCTTTCAGGCCCTGTGAGGCTGGCAGGCTGGGCCTTCTCCGGGGCTTGGCAAGCCCTATTCCTCTCCTCTGCCACATAGATTTTACAGGGGCAGCTACAATTTTTTGAAGCAGACAGACAGATGCAGGTGCCTCAGATTTGTTGCTTGTGGGAGACAGCTGTGTCTGCTTGCAGCGTCCAAGACCCTCTTTTCTTAAGTACGATAGCCACTTGTCAACCATGAGAAATGACCTATCTTCCTGGAATTCAATTTTTCCCCCTCAATACTGACGAACTGTGAAGCTCCGGGGACAGTGGGACATGGCTGTCCTCCTCAGGGGAGCAGTGGTCCCTTTTTAAGCCGAAGGCTTTAGATGTGGGGGCTTTTTGTCCTAGTAATCCCAATTTTTGAAATGTACTTTATGAAAATAAGCCCCAAGCAGTGAAACAATATATAACAACATTCATTAGTCTTATTATAATGAAAAACTTGAACACAATCTAAAAGTTCCATAATTAGTGAGAGGCTGAATAAACTGTGGTACAGAAATTTTATGGGATAGCACAAAGCCACTTACAATGTTTGACTGAACTACGAAACAATGGTGAAAATGTTCGTCACATAAATGTTAAGTATGAGAGCCAAAAGTCAAATATATATCACAATTATGAATGGCTAAAACAGGTATACGCATTCACATGTGTAGAATGAAACTGTCAAGAAAAATCAATACAGCCGATTAATTAATGTAGGCAGTGGAAATTTTAGTAATTTTCTCTTTTGCTTTCTACTCTGCTTAGGCTATTTTTTATGCAACGGACCCAATATCAACGCTCATAAAGCATTGCCACTCCATCCCCAGCAGGGAGTTTTGCTCAGCCCCACGCTCCCTTTGATCTCTTTGGAAGCTCTGGTTTGGCTCAAGTGAAGACCTTTGGTTGAAGCCTCCAACTGGATATAAAATGTTTCGGTGCATGTGTTTCCATCTCTGCCTTCCTGGTGCAGGCTTCTTAAAAGGCTTACACATAATTAAAAAGCCCGGGACTTTCACACACTGCAAATCCTCAAGCAGCGCGGGCCAGGATTGGGCCAGAGATGAAAGGGCCCTCGGCCTCCGCTGCAAGAACACGGGGTCTTTCATGTCATTCCCTCACCATCACCACCTCCCCTCTCCTCAGCAGAAACCCGAAGGGGAAAATCCTGATCGATTTAAAGCATCTTTAAAAAACTCAGCTCCCCCATAGCAATAAAAATGTGCATTGTTTATACAAAGACATTGCCTCAAAGACCTTGAGCACTTAGGGTCCATGCAAAACCGCTACAGCTGTTTTGCCAACGGTATGGAAACAATTATATATGATCTGTACCAGCAAACAAGGCTTAAATGCTGCGCTGTTCTAGGAAGGCCTGATTATAGCTGATTAACGAAGATAATCATCTATAAAGTAATTCCTCTGCTAGACCTCAATGAGAAGAGGCTGATTAACGAACTAGCAAATGCACAAGTGTCTCTGGACATTTTCCCCTGCACGGGACATGAGGCTTGCATCTTTCTGAGAGTCTCTCGTGGCTGCTTACTATCATCGATATAGTTTGAAATTGATTTAAGGGATTTCACTCAATCGATGTCATCTTTAAGGGATGAAAACTCACAGATGAGAGCAAAACCAAGCTCAGATGTAAAGCATTAGAGGGCATGTTTGCTGAACTGAATTGAGCTGAAACCCATCCCTGAGCTGTGTCCCAGGTTCCTCCAGACTCCTCACAAACCAGAGCATTAATTCCCTGGAATGAGGCAGTGGCGAGCCAAGCGGCGTAATTTTGTGCATGTGATGTGCAGAAGGCCCACCTGAAGGGGTGGGGTGGGGTGGGGGGGCGAAGGGACATCCTTCCGTTGCAAAGCAAGGAAAAGACTTTCAACTTCTAAAGGCCATGTAAGTCAAATGCACCCAAAGAAAGAAGTCAGATTAATGATCAAGTGAAGAGATTTCAGAGCTGGCATTTAAGGCCAGAGGCCTTAAATATAAGAATTCCTGAGCTTTCATTTTTTATCTAAATGTCACATTTACTCCGGTCAGCCCCTACAGGAATGTCCCAGTTGTCCCTGGAGCTGGGTGAGTGGACCGCATAAACCAGGTCGTAGCGGCAACAGCAAGCTGAGAAGCCAGGCGGGCAGAGTGCTGGGCTGGGTGGCTCTGAAGCCCTCGGGCACATGTGGGCCACCCACGTCCTGAGAGTCAGAGAAGCTCCAGGACAAGGTATGAGCCCCGAAGGGGGTTGGCCAATAATGTAGGGTCTGCACACACACACACGTTTGCTTCATTTCTTCTCTGGAGGTGACCAGCTGTCTCGGTTTGCTCCTGGACTGAGGAGTTTCCCAGGAGGCAGGACTTTGAGGCTAAAACTAAAACAGTCTGGGGCAAACCTCCCCCCGAGGCTTGCTGGTATTTTAAGCAACAGGGTCTAAAGCCAGAGTGGAGACAGCCATGAATGCAGCTTTGAGCTTCGCTTCTCTCGTCAGCAGTGAGTCTAACAAAACACGGAGTAAGGACAGGGCCGGAGTTGGTTGACCAGGCGGCACTCACAGCGTGTCCTCACTTTCCGCTCTGGGCGGCTGGGAGGCCTCCTCTCAGAGGACTGTCTTTTCTGTTAGTTCTGAGAGATCTGACTGGCGAGCTTGTTGAAACTGATGTTTATGCAAAGACATGGAAAAATACTTCTTATTAAAAAACCAATGAGAAACTATGATTCCACTGTTTGTGCTCTCTAATTACTATAAAAAGATGCTTCCCACTTGGGAAAAGAAAAGGTCAAAATGCAAGCAGTTAAGGTAGTCTAAGTACGGGTGATTTGTTTTAACCTATTTTCTAGGGGTTTTTTGGTTAAATGCTTTTATAATGAAAACAATAATGAAGCAAAATAGTAACATTCAGGGGTTGGGCACCTCCGTCTGGCAAAAAGATGAGCTTTACTGCAGAAGGATCTGTGCAAACTCAAATATTGCCAGTTCTCAATTTTTCGTGACAACTAGGTAAAAAAGCATAACTTTAGTTCATTCATAGATGATCCTAAAAACTCATCCTAGAATTCAAGCATTCACAAGAGATGGTACTAAGTAATTTGGATTACAAGCATTTTTTTTTTTTTTTTTTTTTTTTTTTGTCAAAAGGCAGAGATGAGAAAAGCATTTTTATTATGTTCTTTACTTTTTGAAGTGCTTCCACATTCATTTGGCTTTATTCTCACACTTCTTCCCAAGGTCAGGGTAAGACGTCCCAAGGTCGGGGTAAGACGTGTTCCACAGCTCCCCTCCACTTTAGGAAATTGCAACAAACACGGCAAGGTGCCAGAATGCGTCCTAGATCCCACACTTCCAAACGTCTACTTAGAGCTCCGTAGGGAAGGAGCTGAATTCCTCCGAACCAACAAGCATTCACTGACACCCCACAGCTAAATGCTTAGTGCCTCTGGAAAGGGACAGCTGACTGGGCATGACATCGTTGCCCTCTCCTGTTCAGAAACAATTTTGGTCTGTCCAAACCTGATGACGTATCTCAGTCATTTCTCATGTTGGCTCTATGGACAAGGCGGTGTGCAAGGGCATTGCTCAGCTGGTGACAGATGCCTCCCTTCTGTTGTTGGGAGTGGCCTTGGAGAAGCAGCTGTGGAATAGCATCAGCTCCTAGGGAAGGAGGCCGGCTTAGCACCCAATCCATCTACAGCCCTTGCGCAGTGCCTGGCACCCCATATTGACACAGGGTAGAGTCAGCTGCTCCCTTTAAAGGCTTTCTGTAATGCTGTGTAGTGACTGCTTGCTGCTGTGGCTTGCCCAGGCCCACTTGTCCTTCTCCTGGTGACTGTACTCCAGTCCCTCAAAGGATACAGCCCTAGTGGAGGCTGTGAATCTGCGTCCTGCCTTTTCTGTCCCAGGGATGAGCGTGGGACCAAAGCTAGGACTCCCTCATCATTCTGTCCATTAGTTTTGCTCCCTGGATCCCCAGAATTTTCCCTGGTCCCTATCTTTCCTCACTCCAGTTCTTCAGGTTTTCTGTGAATTCAGTGGTCTATTATGTCTTCAGTTCAATTCCTTTCATGCTTCAAGTCACCAGAATTGTTTCTGCTGCTAAGAGCATGACATCCAAACTTACACACCATCAGACCCGTGCGCACAGCAGCAAGCAGTAGCTGGTGACCCCCGGATGCGTGGCCTAACCTCCTGGAGCTCCAGTGGCCTTTGCTGCACATGAAGGAGGCAAGGCCTACATCTCGCTGCAGGGAGAACCAGGGAGATAATGTGCCTACAGGTCCTAGTGCAGTGCCTGATACCACCTGGGAGTTCAGGGAGTGTTCGGTCAGCTTCTTCCTTAAGCAGGTCTGATGATTTGACTATGGCTTGGCAAAGCGCTTCTTCTAAAATAAACCTTCAGAGTGTGTGGATGGTCTTTTTGTGTTAAATGTTTGGCTGCCAAGCTCACTCTTTCAGACAAAAGCCTACGGTGGGAGGAAATCCAGCAGGATAAACCTGAACTCTATGTAGTCAAACTCCCGAAATACACACCTTTCACTTCGACTTTTA